GCAGGTGGTGCCCGCCCAGCGCACGTGGCCGGCTCCCTGGAGCGGGCTCGCTAGATGCTGGCAGAGGCGGCAGCCGGCGCTTGCCCCTGAGAGCTCGCGTGGCAGGGCGCGGGGTGAGCGCCTGGCCCGGCCCCGCCGGCATGGGCTGCTTCTGCGCCGCCCCGGAGGACTTCTACTGCGAGGTGCTGCTGTTGGACGAAGCCAAGCTGGCCCTCACCGCGCAGCAGCAGGGCATCAAGGTGAGCGCGCGGGACGCCCGGCCCTGAGTTGCTCTCGCCCTATCGCTCCGGCAGGTGCTGGCCATCTTGAAGCTCTCCTGCTAGAGAAGCGGGGCTGGGAGGCAGCCCTCGTCCAGCTCTCCCCGTGCCATCCCGCCCCAGCCGACCCTTCACCCTGGCACCGCGCAGCCCCACGACCCCACCCTGACACAGGGGAAGCAGGGGCAGGGCATCCTGCTTCTGTGCACGCTGGAGAGAAACCCAGGGGTTTCAAATAGGGAGCAGTTCAAACGGGGAATAGGGCACCCAGAGATTTCAACTTGTTGTCCATGTGGATCTGATACCAATTCCTCCCCACCCCTCTGGGAGGACAGGGCTGAGAAGGTAAAGACCCCCCCCCAATAAATTTCCCTCTCCTCTCAGCATTGCACCCCTCTTACTTTCTCCTCTCCCATGCTGCTCATGGGAAGAGCATTAGGAACCCAGTTTTGCGGCTCTCTGCTCCTCGAGCAGTGGTTTTCAACCTTTCTTTAGGCTTGAGGCACCCCTCAGTAAACTTAAGGTACCCCCTGAGAGACTGGAGGGACCGATGAGCTTGAGGCTCCCTCAAGGCTGGAGGCAGCCCTTGGAAAATGCCATCTCTTGGTTTTTCACTTCATTTTGGCAACCCCACCGTGGACCCTAGGAAGGAACAGGGATGGGAAGACAAGTCCTGTTCCGCTTTGCTGCCTCTGTTGCTCTTTGAGCCCAGTGTGCGCAGCGTCTGGTCCGTGTGTAGCTCTGTGATGCTGGAACATCCTCGTTGCAGGTGAATTCTTCAAAGAATTTGGCTGCTGAATTCTAGCAAGTTTCTACTGAGCACTTGAGAGTTGAGAATGCTTTGAACTTGGTCAAATCTGGGTGAATTGATATGGGGTCAGCTGAAAAAGCATATCAGATGCACTAGGCCAGGGGGTCACACCTTTGCCCCATTTGAAATTCTTACCTCAAAATAAAGAGGTCCTGGGGCTTCTTTTCAAAATGGGTGTAAGATTTATTTTTTAACACGGGCAGTAAAGAAGTGTTTTTTCCCCTAAACTTGTTCTTGGAAACACTTGATCTGTTTGAGCTGAAAGCTTTGAACAATCAGAGTCAGCCTGAGGCAAGCACCAGGCATGGAAAGTTTTAACCTGAATGGTTAAAGTTTGTTAAAATTATAGGTAGCAGAAAACAAGATATTATTTAAAGATGCTGAGTAGTCCTAACTATAGCCTGTGGTACTTCCAACTGCAGTGGTAGTTGCTTGCGCGCACACACTGCCATGGTCCGGTAGCTGAATTTAAGTTCAAATCCACAGTTAGCTGAGTAGCAAGCAAACCCCAGTGACATTTGACTTCAGTTCACATGGATTTCAAAGACTAAATGTCAGTTCTTGGGTTTACAAAGCTTATGCTTGGCTCCTCAAACCTGTCTGATGTCCTGTTGAAATTGGGACCCCAAAGAAGAAAGGCCTTGCTTGTGTAAATCTCGCCTGGGATTGGAGTTGCAGGGAATACAATGAAAGGAATGGTCAGTTTTAACTTATTCTGTTAGACTAAAACTTCCATTTAAAATAAGTTTTGTCCTTATCTCACTGTAACATAGTGATACAGTGCATATTATTTTATGTGCCTTTGCCTCGGGTGTGAATAAAAGACCTAAGCACTTATGCCACCTCAATGCTTATTAAGAGCAGTGGTTTTCAACCTTTTTGGAGTCGAGGCACCCCTTGAGAGATTTGACGCACCTCTCAGAAAATGCCAGCTTTTAGTTTTTTAGTAATTTTTTTTAATATGGAAAAATAATAGAAATAGAGCAATGCTTCTGCTGCAGAGAACTCAGAAAGACCAAAAAAGGTCAGAATGTTTTTAACATTATGGATTCCTATTTGAAATCTCTGGCTTTATCTTGTGAATCGTGTTTGCACACCTAACAGTGCTGACATTGTGTGGCAATCCACTGCACCCTTGGAAACATCTCAAGGCACCCCAGGGTGCCATGTCACCCTGGTTGAAAGCCACTGAATTAGAGGAACAGCCTGCTAAGCTGTTTGCACCTGCAGACTTTTTATGCTTCTAATTGTGGCCTTGAAACGGACAAAACGTAGTCATTTCAAGGCAGCTTGAAATTGAAGGCTCTTAGTTTCACAAATTATGTTGTTAAATGCAGCTACATTACAAAGTAGAGGTGGGACTAAAGGGTTCTTATGTATTAAAGTGGTTTAGCACTTGAGCTATGAAGATAACTATAGTTTGTTGGAAAGTGAACAGTAGGCAAAAGAATTGTGACTGGAAATGCTATTATGTAGGTAAGCAAGTTTTGTATTTTCTCAAATAAATGTAAGTGGAATACTTTCTATCATTTGGTATTTTGCTGAAAAATTAAGTTAAAAATTGTTCTCTAGACTGAAAGTCAGAAGTGGCTTATTTCAGTTCTAAACACTATCACATTAATAACCATTTTCATGTATGTATTTAGAGATTCAGGGCTTAATTTGGTTTACTCTAGGCCAAGACAGAAGCATTATTAAATTGCACTTTTTCAGTAAACTTTTCCAGCTTGCATTTTTTGCTTTGAATCAAAGCTTCTGTTAGAGCTTCAAGTCCTGGATCTGTCCTCTCCTCTGTTCTCACGTCATCTTTAGGCCTGCAGTGGTGCAGAAAACACAGCATTTCTTTCCACCTCTTTCCCCCAAATGGATGTGGGTCTGTTAGAAACAAAAGCTGTGTCTTGTTTTAAATAACTGTTCACTTGGTTGCTGTCAGCTGGTGGACTAGATCATAATAGACTCACTCCTGCCTCCACTGAAGTCACAAGGAGTCTTGCCATTTACTTCAATGGGAGAAAGATTGAGCCCCAAGTGACTCCTCCTGGATATACTAAACAGTTTGATAGTTTTTTAAAATAAATCTGAAGGAACTGCAAGTGGATCTTGGATTTGATATTGATGTAAATTCCTGAGAAAGGAGGAATGTTACTTTATCAAGGAATTGCCACCATATTGCTTCAAGCAATATATTTCTCTTGGTGTAGGTTGCAGGTTTATTATATGTGATAGTTGCACTTGGCCATGTAGGATAATAATCATGACTGCTGAGGAATGCATGAATACAAGAACTATTAGTATAGGAATAGATTTTAAATTGTGCTTCAGACTAACAAAATGAGCAGAGGTACATAAGATTTTTTAGGTTTGAATCCAGTTTAAAAATATTTAGCACTTTCTATCCAGAGATTTTACAGTGCTTAACAAAGAGAGGAAAGTATTATTATCCCCATTTTGCAGGTGGGGAAAATGACTTGTAGAGAAGACAAATGGCTTGCCCAAGACCACTTAGCGCTCAGTCTCCCATGCTAGTGTCCACTGGACCACATTCAGTCTGGAGCCTTTTATAAGAGGGGGTGTCAAACTCATCTCAGGCTCTGGGCTGGATCTGCACCACATGAGCTCCCCCTGGGCTGGATCTGTGGGGCTAGCAGCAACTGCAGTGGGCCTGCGTTCAGACAGCTGTGTGGGTCCAGAGACAGGCAATGGCATGTGGCTGCATTTGGGTGGCATTGTGGAGCTCTGGCTAGGTGGCAGCACAGAGCTGGGGGTGTGTGGTGGCATGGAGCTGCATTTGGGAGTCTGTGTGGATCTGGCGTCATATAGCAATAAGGGTCTGCTTTTGGGTGACAGCATGGAGCTGGGTTAGCTGCTGCTAATTGCTATGTCTATTGGGGTCCAAGGACCCCAAATTCTGTGGCAGGCCGTTCTCTCAGCTTCAGGTAGCCAGATGAAGCAGTTCTTTGGGCTGGATCTGGCCTGTTGACCGTATATTTGACACCCCTGACTTATGATTTTGTTTTCTTTATAGTTAATGTACTTGATTTTTATTTCTTGCATTTCTTCACTCTCACTTTTCTTTTCTTGCATCATCATCATTAAGAAAAGAGCTCAGTCATGGGAAAATGTAAAGATTGTCTGTCTAGCTTAAAGGTGTACTGTTAAGTGTAAAGATAGGCCACATTTCAGGCGAAGGCATTGCATGGAACCAACTTTATGACTTTCATTTGCATTTTCATTGTCCTGGCATACAGTGCCTAGAGATCTAGTTTATTGTAGAAATATGCAAAATTTGGAAAACTATTAATAATCTCAACCAAGTTAAAGACTGTTCTTTGTGAGTATGATATACCATCTCTCTATGTATATAGCTCTATTCATGTGTAAAACTGTTTGGCTAGGGCCACAATTTTCTCCTGTCAAATAGAATAACTAAGGAAGAAGTTCAGGTGACCAATTAAGAAAAAGGAAAACCTAGTGCTGTACTACAGATAGGTTGGAAATTGGTTGTTAATGGAAATGAAAATACCTACTTTTTTCATTCCTGTTATTTTGGCTAACCTCCACATCTGTAACCAGTAATCAGACAGGTTTTATGGTAGAGGTAACTTTGTTTAAACAGGCTTAGCTTATTTGTTACTGATGCAAAATGTGTCATTGATGATTGTAAAGGTATTATCTAATGTGTATACATTTAATATATGATTCTGCTGTATAGTGTAATTAAGCCTGTATACAGATTTACTTAGTGAAGATAGTTTTGTTCTGTTACCCATTTGTAATCCACTATTTAAGAACTAGTGGCCATTACTTTGTAAGCCATTTTTAAAATGCTTTCTTAATACATATTTTGTTTTGCTGATTAACTATAAAATTTCAGAAATAAATGGTGTCTTATAATACAAGATCCAGGATCTCAGTAAGTATTCTGTTTTTACTTTTATTAGGAATGGAGTCAAAGTTATTCAGAAGAAAATTGATATATTTGTTCAAAAAAATCAAGCTATTTTGAAACAGCCGTATTTTGTGTCTCCATTTTTTGTTGGAATAAGTATTACCATCTTTGGAAAACATTGCTAATTCACTAAAGCAAAGATCTCAGAGCTAGGCTTAAATTGTTTGTTCATTAAATAGGGCTGAAAAATAAATCAAATGTAAAAGCAAAAAACCCTAAAAT